CTGTTTCAACAACGGAGGAATGTATGAAGCGGTGAATGAGATCTATAAACTGCTGATCCCTATCGCCGAAGCGCATCACGACTACAAGAAATTGGCCGCAATTCACGGCAAACTTCAAGAAGCGTTCCTTAAGATTGAACAGCAAACCGGCAAAAGAGTGTTCGGCACTTACTTTAGGGTCGGTTTCTATGGACCAAAGTTTGGAGATCTGGACAGAGAAGAGTTCGTCTATAAAGAGCCGTTTCTCACAAAACTTCCCGAAATATCTCATAGACTCGAAAACTTTTATTCAGAACAGTTCGGCACTGAATTTGTCGAAGTCGTCAAAGACGGAAATCCTGTCGATGTAAACAAATTGAATCCAGAAAAAGGTATTAAATATCACTTTTAATGTTATTACTTATAAGTTGTTTGGGAATTATACCAATATATTTGTATTTAAAGCCTACATTCAGATAACGTATGTCGAGCCATACTTTGATTCGTGGGAACTCGACTCACGACAAACAATATTTGAAAAGAATTATAATATAAGTGAGAATTTGAGCCATAATTTTGTTTATGAATTGAATTTACAAAATGTTTTGCATTACAGAGAGATTTATATATTCGACTCCATTTACAATGGATGGCAGAGCGCACGGAGATCTTCACGAACAATACAAACGCAAGACTATATTAACGACTATTAATTCGTTTCCTTACGTCAAGACTAGAGTTCTGGTTCACGACAGACAACAGGTTTGATACTTGTTTTAAGTGTATATGTGTTACTCACACTTTAACATGTGATTAGATTGTTTTGACGCCCATTGAAGTGGCCATTGAGGACATCCAGAAGAAGACAATAGAGTTGGCGAGTGCCACATATCAGGAACCAATTGACTCCAAAATTCTTCAAATGGTACTCCAGGGCTGTGTGGGAACGACTGTAAATCAGGGCCCCTTCGAAGTGGCCGCTGTCTTCCTATCGGAGTCAAGCAATCGGACGCCACAACAGAGACCGCCCTCTCCTCTGCAAAATAAACTCAAGAATTGTTTCAAAGACTTTTGTCGAAAGTATGTTTGGTTTGAATTTATTATTTAAATGATTGCTAACTGTTTGGATGAACCGATAGATGTGGAGACGCTTTACGGAAGAATAGGGTTTTGATTGGAAGCGATCAAAAGGAATATCAGAAAGAATTGGAGAGAAATTATTATAAATTTACAGAAAAATTGGCGCCACTTATCAGTACTAACGGACAACAGGCTCTTCGGGCTCTACGGGAAACTTATTGGAACAGTTCGGCTAACATTGCCCTAAGAACTAAACCAAATACTCTTTTATGATTTCGATGCTCTTTCGTCGGTATTTATATATAATTTTCATTTTCAATATTTATTTATTTATTTTAAAACCAATCGTGTATTTCTTATAATGAATTTCTTACGCGACAATAACTATACAACTCTTTAAACGAAAATACAAAATAATGCCTCAAATGACAAAATATAAGAACTATTGTATTATATTCTATACAAGTATTTTAAGAATTTTATCTTTTATTTATATCGAGTTTTATTCATAACTCTATATACTATTTACGGGAATAAGAATATACTGTACAATACTTTCTATACAAGTTTTTATAGATTTATTAACCAAAAAATGGCTAAATAATGAATTTTGTCAAATACTTACGAAACCAATTTTAAGTACATTTTTTTTTATAAATTAGATATTTGTAAAAATGAAATAAAAGTATTAACATATTCTCAATTTAAGAAATTATTATTACCGTAATTATCCAATAATTTTTAGTCTTTTGTTTTAAAGTCTATTTGATCCCAAAATAATCTCAAATCTCTCTTTTACAGTACTTTTAAAATTCTAGTCGTTTTTTATACAAATAATTTTTGTACGAAAACATATTTATGGAAATGGATTTAATTTTTACAAATTTTGTTCAAAAAAGCACTTAATTTCATGACTATTGCCTTATTTTACACATTTTCTATTGAAATCATTCGTTTATAAAACAAATATATGTTCACTAAATGATGGAAAATCAAATTTTTTATTGTAATTATTTGTTAACTATTTTCACCAATTAGTTAATTATTGATTGATTTATTAGTCAATTGTTTTGATTAAATTTATTGCTTATTCTTTACATTACAGTTACTTTTGAATTTTAAAATTAAACTTTTAAATAATTCTATCTTTGTTTCAATGTTTGTCAAACTCTTTAATTCATTGTTTGTTTTTCTTTGTAAAAAACTAAATATAAAAATCATGTATTTTTATTAAACTTTATTAAAATATTTAAATTAAAATGGAAATCAAATGATTGATTAAAAAAATACTGGATTAAAAACTGCCATTAATTTAAGGAGAATATGATAAAATAGAAACAAAAACCAAAATATAATGATTAAAAACTGATTTTAAATTAATTAAATTAAATATAAAATGGAAATAATGAGGGAATTGTCGCTTAAAAAGAAGGAAATCTCTATCACAGACACGTTAAGCAAAAGCTCCGTTCAGTTCATAACTAATAAACATAACCATTAGTTTTAGTAATATTATTGTGGAAGCAATTTCGCGCCGTTAATGCCTCGAACCGACACCTTCTTGGGCCGAACCAACAGTCCGTGATTTGGTTTGCACTGAAAATAGCGAACGCCGTTAATGGAGCCGTCATTCTTGCCGGTGGCTGTCCTTAACTCGACGCCTAAATAAACAATCAATTTATGAGTTTATCGAGTCATCAATATTTTCAATTCAAAGACACGAACCCAACCAAACTCCGGGTCCGGCGAACTCGACGGGTCCTATATATCGGACGACACCAATGCTATTGTTAATGAAGACATTGACGCCAACCGTAAGCCAGGTATTGGTATTCGTCTGTTGAGTGGAGTTGTTTTGATTTGAACTCTGGTTTTGTTTTATTGCTACTGTTTTTGTACGCGTTTTGCGGCCATTACTCGGACTTTTGAACACATCGTTATCCACAGAACCCTGACTTATGGTTAGACTTATTTCGGAAGAATTGTCGTCCGAATCGTCCGTTTGTTTTCTATCGGTTAATACTCGCAGTATTCGCGATGAAGTCGTAAAAATACCGTAATTTTGTTTGCAATCAAAATATCGGATCCCATTAACGGAACCATCATTTTTGCCAACATTTTTCATTAATTCGATTCCAATAAATGTGCCTTAAATTGAAAATTTTAATATTAAACAAAACGTTTATAATTAAAATTATATTCTATACCCGAAGCAAATTGTGTTTCGCCCATAAACCTAACGATTCCAACTCTTTTATCGTTAAGTAATACTCTTTTACCGATCGATATGTCCATTGAATTAATACTTTTGGATTTTAGAGATGACAATCCGGTCTCCACTTTAGGTGTGACGCGGGAGACGTCAACCCGCGGGTGGTTTACGTTCCGGAATATCATAGAATTGATGCCTTTGTAATACTTCATACAATTTTCATCGAATTTAGTAATTTTGTTAATCGGAGCGAATATTCCGTGTTTTGGAAAACATCTGAACATAAATTCAAATGACAGTCAAATATTTCTTTCAATATATAACTCGATAACTCTTACCGGAAATAAGTGACTCCACCAACAGTTCCGTCATTCTTGCCTTCGGGCTCCAGGAGCTCAACGCCCGCCCAAATGCCTGTCAAAACAGATAAGAAGTTATATAAAAAACAGTTTTTATTATTAAATTGATTTTTGAATACCAGAAGCAAACTGAGCGGCGCCGCAATACTTCAATGTTCCCACTTTTTGATTGCTTATAATAACTCTATCGCCTAAACTGAGTCCCAAAGCCAACAGAATCACTCGTCCCGTTCGCCCTATAGTATCGCTATTCTCAACGCCTTCGCCCGGAATGCAGGCCAGAGTTGCCTCTTCTAACAGCTTCTTGAGTTGGGAACAGATTTCAAATGTAGTTTCCGTTGGCATCAGATCCGAGGGAATGGTAGGCTCGGGCACACAGAACAGTGGCGTCCGATTCAAGTCATCTTTAAGCAAAATATTGGCGCCATTATTGAGCAGTACTTTTGCCGAATCAAAACACATGTTGGAGGCGGCGATATGTAGAGGTGTTCCGCCATCAAAGTCACGGCACTGATCGTCAATCAACGCGTTATTCGTTTTGTCCAATAAGTACTGCAATACCGGCGACACATCGAAGTAAACCGAGTAATGAATGGCAGACATATCAGTCCACCGGCATCTCAACGATATGTCCGCGTTGTATGAATCCACCAAATATTGGACAGTCTTCAGAGCTATATCCACATCACCGACACCTTTAGCGCCCGATTTGCAGACATAATGCAAAAGAGTCATATCAGTCAACTCGTCCCTATCGTCCACATGGGCTCCTCTTCTAAGCACTTCCCGAACCAATAAATCAATTGATTGTTGCGTTTGCGGAACCCATTGACGAATGATTGCGAATAACTGGCCGACAGTTGTGTCCAAATTGGAGACCAATTCGCGACAACCGATGCAATGGGTGTTAAAGAAAGGGGACTCAAGTTCTTGACATGTGGTACAAAGTGGTGCATCACTCGCCCCGTGTATTGCGGCCAAAGATGTCTCCCGTTTATCGCCGTTTGTTTCATATCCGTTGCCATTGAGACCATTGAGACTGAGGTCACCGATCGAAATGTCTGAGAATTCGTGGATCAAATGATTGAAACCATTGCCATTCAAATGACTGATATCTTCGTCTAATTGGACGCCACAATCGGTCACATCTGGCGATTCAATCGAGTCTTCATTATTCATGTTGTGATTGCTATAAAAACTGGAGACAAACGATCTTAAGATAAGCCACGGATTCATCGTTTCGACACAAATAGTGAGCGAAAAAAATACTTACGATTTTTTATATAAAAATTGAATGCAATTAACATTGGATTAGAAATAAAGCGATGAATTCGTGATCTCTTCACATGTCGTGACAATTCATACATTCATTAATATTTATATACAATTCGTGACAATTAACTCAATTAAGCCGTTAATCCGTTAATACAATAATTCATTTCAATCCGCAAAACAAAACACTTATTAATATTAATTCATTTATTCATATATTTCTCACAAATTCATTAAATACTGAAACAAATCGCATAAATAATCGTAAAGAAAATAAACAATTTATTCAATGATTTGCATTAAAACCAAATTTAAATAACGAATAAATACTGAATTTATTTTCACAATAAAACAAAACTTTTTTTGTTATCGTTTTTGTGGATAACTTTGTTGTCATTCAATGAGTGTTTTTTTTCGCACAAAAAGTTGTCAAACAATATTGAAATGTCGCACAAAATGCATGTCTGTATTGAGTAATGAACGCAAACCGCAATCAATGATAGGATGTATTGATTAGAAAACAAAATGTAATGAAAATTAAAACAAAACAAAACAAAAAAGTTAATTAAAGACAACAATTAGTGGGAATGTTCAGCAAATGTATGGCTAAATGTTTGCCTAAAATGTGATGTTTTTGGTGAACGCAGTCGTGAGCCGAGGGCTGAGAGTGAAGCCAATGAGCTGTGGGTTGTGTCGAGTCGTTCCCATTCACTGCAAAGGGTATGGCATTGAATGGGAGAGAGAGTGAGTGTGTGTTGTGTTGTGTCGGCTAACCATTGAAGCCATGCATTTCTGGCAGTCATACTCTTATATGCGGTACGACTGGTGTGTGTCTGTACTGTACTGTAAGGCAAAGGGCATCGACTTATAGCCCACTGTATTCTGTATTTCGTTACTACAGTCTTGTTGTCTGTGTTGTCTATGCGTTGGCTTTCACTGCAAACACTCGTTTCAATCCTTCAATTCATTCATACATTCATTCATTTGAATGATTAAATGCATCACAAAATTGTTTGCAAACACTTCTCATCTGATCCCTGGTTTCCAATGGCTGTTGTCATCCATTGATGCCAATCATAACCACGTCCTCAGCGTTGAGATAATGCTTTATGAATGCATTGAATGCATGGACTAAATGAGTGGATGAGTGGCACCGATGCTGTGATTCACACATTAATTCATCGATTCATTCAATCATTTCAATTGATTGTATGCTTTTGTATAGCAATAAGTTTTTGAGTGAAAACTCGATTCTTGTATTGTTTTTTGGGTTTTGATTTTGAAAGCATTTTTCTCATTACATTTGATGGCAAAGTGTGTGAAAACCCATTTCTGGTCGCTTTGAGTGAATGATTTTTACTGTAAACTGTGTTTTGTAATCATAGCTGAAGTGATACTAGAAATGCATGGCATAAGGGATAGGGATGTTGTGCTTGTGTTGGGTTGAGTCACATCTGGTCCCCAATAGCCAGTCATTGGAAGCACTTCTCCTCATATAAGGGATCAGTTGTGTTGCCATTGAAATGAAGGACAACAACAAATATATTTTACCGGTTTATAAACTTTTCACACATCTAGTGGTCATCACTTGTTTCATACAATTCTTGTCCGCCTTTAAAGGTAAGGAATAACCCAATTGTGACACTTTTTTCATTCATTAAATGCATTTGTATTCAATGTTTGAACCAATAGTTTAACGATTAGTTAGTGATTGCCTGACATTACAATCAAATCTCACTTTAGACTACTTTTGGCTCATTTTCGCCCAAATTCTGGTTATTTTTATCGTGCGATCAGTTGTTGTAATGGAAATACAACGACAAATACTATTAGATTTGTTGAAACGCTTTGTAAACCATTGGTTTCATTATTGGACATAAATTTGTGATTTATTGCCAATAATATGATTATATTTGAATTATTTGCTCACAAAAAGCATTTGATTTATATTTTATGCGATAAATAATGGAAAAATAAATGCATAAAACATTGAAACAATTTTCATATGTAATTATTTTAATAAAAACCTGAGTTATTATAAAAATATTGTCAATACTTTTTTTCGTATAAAAAACAAAAATAAATTTCTATTTTGAGTGAAATGTTTGAGTGTTTGGCGGATAAAAAAAATGTGAACACATTTTATGAAACAAAAAATAAATTTGATTTCTATTTTACTGTATATAGAGATGAGATGAAGAAATATAATACACACAGAGATATGAAATATGAGGCAAAATGTGTGCAAAGGATTGCTATAAAGTTGAAGACATTTATATGAGTTTTGATGCTATAATACATTCTTATGCAAAGATGTGCACAAAGTATTGCTACTGTTATCGACTGTATTTGAATGAATCCCATATCAGAGACACTACTTTCCTCTTGATTTCGTTATACATCACAACCAATATTAGCACAAAAAACGTGAAAATTGTTATTCACAGAGAGATGTGTTTAGGGAAAGGGCTTTCAATTAGTGGAGTGACACTCCGGCCCGCAATTTACTCCTAACATCACTTCACATATCGATTGAAACATTATTTTTAAATAAAAAAAATTGTTTTCGCAAAGAAGTAACAGTAATAGAGGAATAGAGGGCACAAAAATAGACCGAAAATGAAATAAAGTGCGAATCAATTCAATTCTCTTTCATTTTATTCCTCAAAACTCAATATTGTTATCAAAATTGTTTTTCGCATTTAATATTGATTTTTAAAGAATTTCTATATATTATTAAAGAATATAATTTTTGCGGTGAAAATCATATTTTCAATTCAAGTCCTTTCCATTGCGTGATTCAAAAATATTAGTTATCTATTTGTGCGACAAATAAGTTATTCCCCCGAAAAACATAGCGTTCAAGTGTTGGACACTTTTGGACACAACAATTACAACCCATTGAATGCATGCTTTCCTTTAATGCACGCAATCATTGAACGAATGCATACAATCTATACCTCTATTCGCGTATTAATATCTATAATTAAAAATGTTTCCCTTTTTGTGACATTTATTTACAGATTTTCTGTTATTTGAGATAATTTGTCGAAATCTAAAACAAAATCAATGAACTATTAAACTGATTGCCGAATGAATGGCGAATGAAATATTTGATTACATATTTTACATTAGTATGAAATTTAATTTATTTTATATCAATTTAATCAAACATTTGGTTGCGAAATATCCGAATGAATTAAATGCAAAATAATTATAACTTTAATGTAATAATCAATTAATTATTGATTTGAAACCATTGGATGTATACTTAATTAAGTGTTTTCAATGTTTAATATATTTATTGAAGAATACACGAGACATAAAACTACTAATTAATCTTATAGTGAGTTAGACAACACATACTACAGTATATTCTCTACTTTTCTGTCATTATATTCACAAAATCAATGATTCATTAGCAGAGCATTGCATACGACCCCAAATAGTCACTATAATAGTTATGAAAAACAGCCCAAATTGTTACTTAAATAGTAAGTTATAATTTGTTAAATAGTCCTAAATTATTTCTTAAGAAGTTATCATTCGTTAGCTTTAATGCTTAATACGTTAAATGTAGTTGATTTACATAAATTTGACGAAATTAACAAAGAATTTATTATGTAGTATTCTGTATTTGTATAGTTTGGTATAGTTAAATGCAATGCTCTGTTCATTAGTTTTTATGAAACTTTAAATAACTCCTAAACTATACTTAACTACTCGTTTGTGAGGATACTATTTATAACACTTATTCGTTAATTATCTTTTGCTCTTCAGTTTAAATGTAAAACTTTTTGTTCATTTAAAGATTTGCATGAATTTTAAGTTTGCCTTTTTGTTTGGATTTATTACTACACAATACAAATATATATTAATATAACAAACATTTTATTTCAACTAAAAGTTTTTATATTTTGATTATAAGATGCATATCATGTAATTTAGAATATTCTTATTTATCAATGAATGGTATAATTTTATCCCATTCTTCCTCACTCTTCACATCTCTTAATACCTTTCAATTTGTCAATTCATTCACAAAATTATATGTATTAAAAAAATTGCGTTTTTGTAAAATAGATTTTATTTTGAATTATTTTTATATAACAAATAAGAAACTAATTTTTGAGATTAGATAATAAGATATAATTTTATTATGAAATTTATTATTTTGTTGCATGTCTTTTGGTGATTGTATTTCTGTATAACAGAATATTCTTTAATATAAAGAAATATTCTTTATATTAAACCCATTATTAGTGTTATATTTTATTAGTTTCATAATAGGAAAGGAATTCAATACATATTTGCAGAATTTGGTCAAATCTCTGATCAGATCTTTAACTGATTTCTCTGTTTCTTAATTATTTCCTCGAAGTTAACGAGAATTCTATAAAATAATTGTTTTCATTTGTAATAATAAATAGACTGAAGATTATATATAATGACGACAAAGATTTTATACTTAATTATAAACTTCTTAAGACTTCGGATAAAATTAGTACCAAATAATGATTGAAGAAAAGTTGTGTATTGAAAAGTAATGATAATAATAATGTTCTCTCTCTCTCTCTCTCTCTCTCTCTCTCTCAAATCAGTCTTAACTAAAGATCAACAAAAGCAGTGATGCATTCAGTCATGAGAGTAGTGTCTGTGTCTTCAGTTGTTGTGACATTTAGTACTAAACTTATCCGATATATAATCCCATCTCTGATACCTTTTTGTCGAAACATGTTTTTCGTTTACCAATTGCTCTGTTTTTGTGTTTGCATTTCGAGTTTCTCTTTGCAAACGATTACTCCGTAAATAATACTCTCTTTCAGTCTCTCAGAGTCAACACATAATCCATTAAATATTTTTGGTTTCAGAACTCTTAATAGTTTTCTGTTTGCTTTGAGAATCAAATTTAAATTTCCAATGAATAGAAAATTAATTTTAATTAATCCCAGAATAACTTATCT